CCTCTCCCCCGAATCCGCCAGTGGCCTGAAATTTATTGCCAGAACGAAGCTGTGGATTACGCTACTCTCACCAAAATCATCATGCCAATTGAGCATGACTTCGGTCGCGTTAACTGCAGGAAAGTTGCTATCTGCACTGATCACATGGAAGTGTCATATCAGAAATGATGGCTAATTAAATATGTAAGAACATTTACAAAAATGCTTTAAAAAGCCGAGCTGTTTACAACAAATATAAGGTTTGATTGGAAATCTTATTGTCTTCAGGTGGTTACAACATTCAAAGTTGTTTCCAAAAAGGTACCACGACGAATAGCAGAACGGAAAAAGTGGAAAAAATTTGGCCAATGCAAAAATGATGGTCCAGGGCCCCACGTGTCCACGACCTATGTTGCCGAAGAAGTACTGATGCAGTTTATCCGAAATCGTGCTGGTGAAGTAAGCAAAATTTCTATGCTTTTGTGGCAGGGGAGTCCGTTGTAATATGAATTTTGGTGAGGGATATTATCTGCCGAATGTACCGTTAGCGATTGTGATTGGCTTCTTTCTGATAGCAAATTTAACTGCTAGGGGCGCAGTGATTTGTGGTGGGCACAGTGATTTTTTTTTTAATTATGAAAACTGTTAAAAGCTAAAAATCTCTTCACATACGCTATTTTTGTACATTAAAATTAGAATAATCTGCCACTTATATTCGCAAATCCATTCGTATAATTGTCTTTAGAGTGTAATTTTACGACGAATTAGCGCACTTCATTTATACTGTTGTAAAAATTTTTATGGGATGCGGGTGTTCACGTGTATGACAGGTGGCTACGTGGCATGGTGCGTCGACTAAAGGGCCAGTTGGGAAAATGAGAACTTTTTTTGTCTTGTTACGGGGCAGGCAAAGACAGCAATAACACAGTGCCTGACGCTTGGGCTCTGACGAATGGGATGGCCTGCTGGGCAGGGGCTTCCGAGAGGGCGAATATTATTGCCTTCGAGACGTAGAGGTCCGGGTTCCGGTGGTGATCATAAATTAAGTCACGGGAATTGTCGCTGAAGAGTTGACGATCGGGGTTTTTGAAGCTGAAACTGGTTCGGAGAAACTGAGACCACGAGGAAAGGTAAGGATGGTTTACAAAGGAAGTCAGGGCCCGTCCCTAGGATGATGTAATGATTTGCAGGAAATTTTGGAAATATACGGAAAAGGGAGATAAAAAAGGGTGATAAAGGAACAGGAGATGGGGATAAGAGCTCAAAAAATATAAGAAAGAAGATAAATGAAGAATCAAAAAATTTTTTTATATATGAAAAAACGAAGGAACAAAAATAAACGGAAATTGTAAACACGCGGGAATGCGCTTGCATTCCTGAGTCGTCGCCTAAAAAAAGCGAAGAAAAAATATTGAATAATTTTTATAATTAGAATTACATGTTTTACACTCTTAATGGAGATATGCTCGGGATTCAGCTTTTTTTCATGTATCTATTATTTATAGCATTTAGTGGATGAACTTGAAGGAAAATCTTTTTTGCATGTCATAGGATCTCTGTGCACATTGATAGTTTTGTGATGCCCGCATTGCTTTACAGCAGCAGCTCGATATCGGAGACGAAGGTGCAAAAGTCGTAACTACAACCGGTGGTTCCTTCACTCACTGT